AGGAGAGGAGAGGAGAGGAGAGGAGAGGAGAGGAGAGGAGAGGAGAGGGAAAGGAGAAGGAGAGGACGGTAGGACAAGGAAGGTCACAAAGAGTTCAGGCGATCCAAACCTCCAACCCGATGCCCACGGGCAGTGTTACTATGGTTGGTGCCTTGCTGAGGTTTTTCTGCCTCTATCCTATTCTCCATCGCTCTCAATTTTATGTCTTCTTCTGGAGAATTGAGGCCACCATTCTCTCCATATCAGCGGTCTGGACCTCGGCCTCGTCCTCATCCTCGCATGTTGCTGCTGTACCACCACGCAACACGCGGGGTTAACGGGTAACAGGGGTGACACAGCGGCAGCCATGCAAGGGAAAAATATGCATTCATTGACCGGTTACCGAACCTACCTTTTCTTTTGGGACACATTCCGGTTTTTTCTCCAGCGAGGATTCGGCTCAAAAAAGTATCGAGGTTCTTTTCACGAATGGGAAAATGGTCATCTGGGATCTTCATCGTCCATGACTCCCGAGTCCTCTTGAGGACTGACTGTATTGGCGTCCACCCCCCCTGCCCTTGCCCTACATTTCTACCACAGCAGCCGGACCGACCGAACGAACAATAGAAAAAAAATCCGGACTATGCGTCAAAAGTCCCATTTCTATACCCGAAGCCCCTCACCGCATGCTCTTCTACCCTTGTCCTTGTCCTTGTCTTTGACTTGGATCAGGATTGCCTTTGTCTGTGTGTGTGTCTGCCTGCCTGCCTGCCTGCCTGACCTCGCTCGTCAAGTGTCAGCCCTATCGCTTGCTGTGCGACGTCAATCAAATCGAAAACCCTCAATCCATCCCGGGGTGGCGGTGTGACACATATAGACCTGGTGTATACAAAAGTACAAAGTAGAAGGAGGAGTATACTCCGTAGGAGGACAGACAACGGCATTGACTTTTTTTACTTCCACGAGGTGCATTTCTCCTTACTCTAGAACTGTCCATGGATATTCAACCGCCGTACTATGCCCGGTGTTGCCCGTCAAGCTGTCAAGCAGCCGGGCCTTGAAACATGGGATATGGGATGTGGATAGAGACAGAGACGTAGACACAAATACGGATGTAGATACAGGTATAGACACAGGTATTGACACAGACGGCGTCACAAGGGGTTATCAAACTCATGTACACTGTCCCACAAACTTACAGGGAAGAACCTGTCAATGTCAGTGACAAAAGTCCAAAGTCCAAAGTCAGCCTTGTCGCGAATACATATGTATTAATATGTAATACAACCCCCGAACCCAAAAATCCCCAAATCCAGGTCCCGGCCTTGGCTCCCTATCCCCACTGGCGTAGATCCCGGTAAAATACATACATAGTAGAAAGGGAGTCCCCTGGGGAAAAAGAAACGAGGAAGAAAGAAAGAAACAAAGTCAGTCTCGCCTCCCGGATCTCGGGCCCGGCCATGCCCGTGGCTATGACCGGTTCAAGTCGTCGTCGTTGGTTGTAGGCGTGTCGAAAAGGTAAATGGTAAGAGGTAATAGGCCTGTGTGGAATACTGCGTCGAGTTAAAATAGATATGTGCCCACACCGTATCGACAGTGGACAGGCGCTGGACAATGCAAAGGACTTGGCTGTTGTTGAGTTTCCTTGACGTGTACTCGGAGAGGGTATTCAGGCAACGATAGGACTGCAAGTCCCGATCAGCAAGCATATAGCCCCGCCGAGTCACGCGCACACCCCAACGGTGACAACGGCGGCGGTGGCGGCAACAGCAACAATAACAACGGCCCCTGCATCTGCATATGGCTTGCCCACCTAAGCAGAGGCAGTCCCCGATCAGTTTTCTTCCCTCGCGCAAAAAAGCAACTTCAGTCCCGAATCCCCCTCCCCCTTTTGCCACTTTCGGGAGGCCCAGCATAGATCTCCACCGGGCGATGATGCACGCATGCATGTAACGGCAGTCGCCTGTGCCTGTAATGCTGGAGTCGACCAGGACTATGGGCCAGGATGGTAGACCGGGGGGGTTGTCATTCTGGCCTAGCATGTCACTCCCTCGGCCTTGTTCTGTGGAGGCGAAGAACAATGGACAAGACTGACTGACTGTTAGACCGAGAGCGAGAGAGGAGAGTGGGAGAGAGGCGAAGACTGGTCGGGCCGTTAGTTTCCTTCCTCGCCATTGCCCTGTCCCTGTCCCTGCCCGTGCGAAAGATGAGCGGATTCAGACAATCCCGTCTGCCTGTGCGCCTCGTCTCGTCTCGTTTCGTCTTGTCTTGCAGTGTCTTCGGGCCGCTCTCCCTCCCCCCTTCCTCTCTTCAGCCTCTAGCAGCTTTTACCGCCATCCGTGGCCCACAAGTCCAAAGTCCAATCTCGCCTTCTCGATGGTCTTTTCCCTGTAAGGCGAGCCCAGTGTCGAAAAGGAGACGAGTAGAAGCGAACGACCTGTCCAGGACCACCACGACCGCAGTCATGTCATGCAAATCTGGCCCGCTTCTCATGAAACAGTAGCCCAAATCCAGAGATCGACGACGGCCGTAGCGTCGCACCGAAAGTAAAAGCCCTCCCCAATACCCGTGTATGATCGCCTGGAAAGTCAGCCTCGCTTTGTTTGGCACTTCCCCCAAACCCGAGAAGAAAGAAAGAAAGTCTCTGAACCTCGCACCAAAGCGGGAAATGGTGCATAGCAAGAATTGGAAATTGAGGACAGCCGCAAATGAAAAGACAATACACCGAGTTCTCTTGGTATCGGCGTTCCATTCCTAACAAGGTCTGTTCCCATTCGTCATATCATCGTTCATTGGAGTCGTAATCATATCTGGTAGATGGTGTATCTCGGTAATGACAGGCCTTTCCTCCCCTTAACATGGCGATTTCAAACGTGCGCGAGGCATGCTATGGATATAGTAAAAGCAAAGTAACAAAGTAAAAAGCTTCAGAAGCTTCAAATCAGGACAGACAGCAGACGACATATGAATACATCCTACCGTCACCTTTTCTGTGTGAAATGAACCCCCATCGCTTCCCGTCCCTCCTTTCCTCCCCCAGCACGCCCCGATACTCTTACAATTTTCGTTGCGTAGCATCCTCCAGGAAAATTCCCCCTTGGTAGGAAAAAGATAAAGTAACACGCGGAAAAGACTGGTTGAATGGTCGATGAGCAAAAAAAGCCATCAATGTCGAACAAAGAAGGTCTTGCTCGAGCTGCGAACCCCACGGATTCGTCGGATTGTAGGGTTTGGCTCCCTCGTCGGTAGTGACTGGTGGAGAAATCATCCGTTCAGGTCAATTCATGACCTTTCGAGTCGTTCGACGTTTGTGATTGATTGCGGAAGGCGATTCGACCGCTGGTTCGGGCTGCCGGACACGCAGCAAGATATTTGCGCTGATTTTGACTGGGAGCCCGTTTACCCATGGCTCGTTGACAGAGAACCGATAACTTCAAGGCTTTTCAGGCTTCACAATCACCTCGACTTTCCGACCTTTGCCCCTTCCTTTGATACCCTTGTTGCTATGCTTGTAGAGATCCTGAAAATAGGAACGGAGCTCAGCGTGTTCTGGGTCCATCTCGTTATGCGCAAACTGTTCAGAGAGCTTTGCCAAAGTCTCTTTGTGGAACTTGTTCATGTGGGCTTTGAGGTTTCCCAGTTGTGTGAAGACTTTGCCTCCGTGGCTGCCGTCCAAGCCTTTGCAGCCGTCGAGTTTACATTCGTACTTCCGAGTTCGGGTCCCTGGATCGGATGAGGATCTTTTTCGGTTCGGTCGTTGGCCAACATGTCGTCGCTCGTGAGTTCGAAGGTTGCCCAGTTGCGAAAACGTTTGTCTGCACGTCGGAACAGAGCATGTGTACGGCTTCTCTCCCGTATGGGAACGAAGGTGAATCTTGAGGTGTGTTGGCTGAGAAAACGACTTGAAACAATCGGGATATGGGCACAGATGTTTCTTAGGCTTGCCACTGGCACTGCTAGCTGGCACAAGCATCTGGGGAGGTAGCAACGTCTTCATGAGTGAGTCGACTTCGGAGGCATTGTCTGGAGCCGAGCTAGCCAAAGATTGAGGAACGATCGGAGGAGTAGTATGGCTCGACGAGATGATGGACTCAAGCCGGTTCTGCTCTGACAGATCGCAGGACAGATAGCTCGAGGGTGCCTCTGAGTAGGTGGAGCGGCCATCATCGAAGTTGCCCCGCTCCTCTCCAGCCCAACTCGTTGGCGTCGTCGGGCCTTGAGCCGGGGTGAAGTAGTCCATGGGAGTGAAGTCGTAGTCAGAGAAGCTGGTGAAAGTCTGAGCACGAGCCAGGGTGGTCGGCGGCGCAGAGCCTGGAGTGCTGAAAGAGTCATAGTCGTACATGTCATGCGAAGGTACGTTCTGCAGGTAGAACTCCTGAGGAAATGTTTGCGGCTGTGCGGTCGCTGGTGGCTTGGAGGGCGCGGGCACCGACGTGGGCACCATCCATTGTCTCAATTGATGCATATGCCACTCGATCTGGTCGGCGGTAGGATTGAAGGCCATGTTCAACATCGAAGGAGTCTTCGTCGTCGTCAATGTCTCGAGGGAGTGGCACGCCCACAGATATGCTCTGTCCAAGCGAGCTCACTTCCGAGGAAGCCAGGAAGAGTCCGAGAAAACAATCAATGGTACTCTGGATAGTGTGAATAGGTGACTCCGGTGCGACGCTCGGAATGGATCGAGGCTATAGAGTAACACTTTGAACAAGCAAGAGCCAACGACACGACTACATCGCACTCGAATGCTGGCCCAAGGACTGGATTGGCAGTAGATCAAGCAAGAGAGTGCAGATACGGGGGAGCGAAGTGTGGGGGTTCGAGTGGCCACTGGCTGGAAGACGGTGGTAGCGGTCCTGAGGTCGGCCAGGATGAACGGACAATGAAGACCCTGAAAAAGCAGCTTTTTGAGCAAGGAACAGTCCTAGAGCTTGGAGATGTAAGCCGAGTCTAACGTGGTCTATGGATGGGTAGACAGTATAGTCCGAGTGACGAGATCAAACTGGGTATTATACCTCTTCGCTTGACCCGACTCCATTGTATGCTCAGACAACCAGTCAGCAGCGTGGGCGGTGCCAAAAGGGACAAGCTCCCTAGCATGATGGTTTCAGGGATTCTGCGGAAAACGGAAGAGATTGCGTTCCCCATCGCACGTATCTGGTGTCGTCGAGGCTAAGGTATCGAAAGGGTGCAGCCTTGCCCCTCCGCCAGCTCGAGCGTGGGTGCGACAAGGCCATTCAGCGCCTCTGCTTACCGCTTTGGGGCGAGCCAGATGACACAAGGTGAAAATTTTTCGAGATCCAGCATCGTCTCAGTGGCTGCCAGAAGGAGAGGGAAGCCTTCAGGCCAGTGAGAGTGGCCCTAGATGATTTCGGGATACGCATATGCGAGGTAGGCATGGGTACGCATAAGGGGAGGGATTAGGGCTGCAAGGGAACAAACCTACTCAAGCCGGGGGCGCACAATGCAGAGTCTGAGGAGATGTCGTCGTTACCCTAAGGTGGGTCGGGGGGTGGTGGTGGTGGATGAGCATGACGGCCAGCGCAGGGCCAGGACCGATAGCCTGCAGCGATCGTTCGATTTGGGGTCCCTTGCAAGGGACCTAAGAAGCAAAGAAGGGATCCTGGCATGGGGAGGAAAAGTTTGGGGGTATCGGGTCGCTAAGTCTGAGTAGTTCATCCGTCATAACCCAAGTCGGCGCTGGTCAAAGTCGCAGACCATTTTGAGCTGCATGAAAAAGCTCGGATGAAAAAAGCTGCCAGGTGGAGCAGGACGAGGGATTTGGGCAACCTTTGGCTGGTGGCTTGAACAGGATTCCACAGACTATACCGTTAAAGGAGACTCCACGCTTTAGAGACTCGTGGCGCCAACCTGGAAATAAGCGAGCGCCCAGGCTTGATGCGTGGTCGATTGATCCTAGGCCGTGCATGCTGCGCGTTCATTCCTCCCGGCGTCTTCCATGGAATCTTTGGGAGGACAAGCCCGGCCCTTGACTTCCGCTTGAGGGGGGCTGCGGTGAGGCTTAGATCTCTTCTTGGGTCAACTTGGGAAAACGGACGAGCCAGGCACAAGATTCGGCTACTGTTAGTGACATTTCGCGCGCGGCCAGTGCCTGAGGTGTCTTGCAGCAGCTGAGGTTTTTCCTATCGGGATTTTCTCCATGCCTTAGCATACATCCAAGATAGCTTGGGCTGAGCGAGAAAATTTTTTCTCCAGCTGCAGGATATCGTTCAGAGTTGAAACTGGGGTTTGAGGAGAAGTCTTGGAGTGATAGACAAGGGACTTCACCAGCCGGTTCGTGGGTTTAGGCACATGATCAGGAGAAAGAGCAAGCGATCCAGGGCTTTGTAGTAGTTGGTCCGTTGTCTGGGTACATCCCACGCGGTCTTCCCCTCAGATTACCTGCCCTGTGGCCCAGACACAACTGGTCTTTTTACGCAAATGCTGCAGTGAAGAAAACCTCGCCCCCTCTTGACCCGATACATACGATCCTCGATTTAGTTCAATGAGTGTTAACCTGTTCTGGGAGAGACTGCAAGATGATCACATGAATGAATAACAACTGAGCAAGGGGGACTTTCTTGTTTCGAGAGGACAGCGGGGGTACCAGGCGGCTGGAGTAACGAATGGTATAAGGTTCCGAGTCCGTGGCGCTGGCCATTGATCAAAGGAGAGATTGATACGTCTTGTCTGGGCCAGGAAGATTCAAGTTAGCACGGATGAAGGATTGATTGACGATGGAGGAAAGGGGGAAACGGGTACGCCCGCTCTGGCTGCGCTCGGCCGCCTCCGAAAGTGAAAAAGTGAACTGAGGACAACGGGTATAGTACCAACTCACTTGTGTATCTTTGACTTGGGACTTGGGACTTGGGTCTCGGATGATGTGGTGCCGTGGTGCGGTACTTGGTACCTCGTTGACTGGGTCCGACGACACTGTTGACAAAGTCAATTCCGCTCTTAGAGGAGCTATTGCCAGCTGGTAACTAGGGAAGAAAAAGAACAATACATGTCTGTAACTGCGACTTGTGCTCAAGTGCTGTTGATCCCGCCCCGGACCTTACGTCAGGGCTTGCGAAACGCAGGGGCACCCAAGGGGACTTGGAGGCCCAGGTTTGACGGCCCAGTGCCCACCAACCACTACCACTTATCTTAATCACTAAACCACCCTCACCACCATCACCACCACTACCACCACTGCAGACTTAGACGAAGGCCATACGGACCTTGTGGTGCATCCCCGACGAAAAAATTCTTCCCTGATTATCAATGTATCCGCATTTTTGATTGGCTTGCTCAGCTGCATCACAGTAGGGATCGAGAAATCTCTGACAACGAGGCTTTCGCTCTATCCAAGTCGACATCAGCGATGGTAATCACCATGCCTCCTTTCCACCCACGTCTGTTCCCTGCACTATCTCCCCGTCCTGCGACCTAAACAACCGAGCAATACGCAGACTGAGCAAATTTTTTTCATCGAAAGTATAGCCCAAAGAAAAAAAAGAACATTGGCTGCGACGGTCGCTTCAACCTCATTCCCGACTCGCCTGATCCGCCTGATTGACCTCAAACAAACCATCCACCAGACACACCCCCCCCCAACCCCCCCCCAAAACATCCACTAATGCGAGCCCGCCACGCCCATAAGAAGTCCAGCCATTCCCAGAGCCCGGTGACCGTCAAGCTAAAGAGAATACTCCCCCAGAGCCATGAGGCCCCCTCATGCAGATGAGCCCGGGCTCCTGCAACTCGAGTCCTCATACCTCTGCCGTTACTGCCGGATGCCCTTCCAAGTTCTTCAATCTGTTCATAACCACTGCAAGCAGCTGATATGGGAAGGCGAAAGTCTCCAAAAGCCAAATCATACACATGCACATGTAATTGCGAACTCCGTCAGCCGTCCCAATCCTAGTCTCCTGCCGGTTTGCTGCCGTCCATTTTGCTTCTAGAATATTCACGCATTCTCCACTAGGCTCAGAGTCCTTGGTGCGCCCCTCGCCATGTGGTATATTGCCAGATGCGAGCCTTCATGTCTCCTGATCCCGTAGCGAAGAGATGGCCTGTTGGACACGGGGCGACGGATATCACAGAGTTCTTGTGACCTTGAAGCATCATCTGCGCATTACCCGTGTTGGGGTCCCAGAATTGAACTCCACGGTCTTTGGACCCAGACATAACCCATTCGCCGCCGGGAGTGAGGCAAACCGAGAGCACATAGTCCTGCGCACGAACCACCGTTAGAGTTTCTCAGACATAATACCAGAGGAAGGAACTGGAAGGGGGAAAACAACTCACCTTGTGCCCCTCAAAGGTGCGAATACATTTGCCGTCCTTCGCGGCTGCAGCTGGAATAAGGCCTCGCTGTGGTGTGAGTTCCCACATCTTGATCGTCTTGTCCAAGCTACCGCTGACCAGCTCCCGACCACTAGGGGAGAACGCGACCGAGTAAACACTGTCCTTGTGGCCCTGTGGCCCTTCCAGTCGCTCGATGAGATATCCACTCGAGCAATCCCAAACCCGGACACTCTTGTCTAGGGAACCGGCTGCGACGAAACGTCCATCAGGGGACATGGCTACGGTAGTCACCCCGTCTTCGATCGAGAGCACCATGACCTGTTGGTTTGACTCAATATCCCACAAGCGAACGGTTTTGTCGCCGGAGCCCGAAGCAATCAACCGACCAGTTCGTGAGAAGTCCAGCGAATAGATGTCTTGCTCATGTCCATCGAACGTGGTGCGGATGCGCTTGCTTGCGATGTCCCAAACACGGATCCTCTTGTCTTCGGCGCCTGTCGCCAACAGCTTGCCGTCGGGGGAGAAGCAGACAGATCGGATGTACAAGTCACCGTCCTTGTCCTGGACGTTTTCGTCGAGCAACTCGCACACCTTCTGGCCGTCCCTTGCGTCAAAGATTTGAGCACTGCGATTGCAGCCTGTGGCGACGTACTTGCCATCGCTCGAGAAGCGTACACAGCAGACAACGGACGTGTGCTGAAGATTGTGCAAGAGAGTAATATCAAGCACACGAGGAACATTTGGATTGAAGACGGCATGCCATTCGCCATCGGCGCTGGTCCGCTTGAGATGATCTGGCAGGTCATCCGGGTTCAAATCGGCGAGAACATTGCCGACATTGGGATACTGGCCTTGGCCTGGCATCTGATGACGCGGTCCAAGCTGCATGTCGGTGCCTGGAGGAGTAGGCCGGGGGATTTGAGGCGAAGCTCTTGGGTCATTCTGATACGGCATGGCCTGTGGTTGGCCTGGATGTTGCTGAGGAGTTGCAGGCCCCGGTCCAGGTCCACCTCTGTTAGCCATGGATCGATTCTTCCCAAGACCCGGGGAATTGGTAGGGGGTTGTGGTTGCGGCCCATAACCGTTCAGCGTAGGACCCTGCTGATAGCCGGGAAAGGAGTTGGGTGGTTGTGGCGGCGGACCCTGGGGTTGTGCGGATGGCGGAGGGGGTTGCAGAGGATGCTGCTGAGGAGGAGGTTGTTCTGGTGGAGGAGCCAGCCCTGGACCACCTTGACCTTGGTTTGCCATGATTCCACTAAACAACCCACCCTGGCCGTGTCCTAGAGCTGGGGGTGCTTGTGCTGGACCGGCATGCTGAGGAGGGCCACCGAGGTGCGACTGCACCTGGGACCCTCCGCGTAGCTCCAGTTCATGTCGCAACAGACGAATCTCAGCCTCGTAGTCTTGCTTCATCTTCAACTGATTCTGTTCCAGCTGATAGACCTTGTTACGGATCAGCTCCATCTCTTGAATCTGTTGCGCGACCTGGCTCTCGACCTGCTCAGAGGCTCTAGACTGATTATCGAATTCGGCTCGTAGCTGGTCCATGATCTCATTCAAGCGGTGGTTGGGCTGGCCAGGAGGCGCGGGCCCCAAATTGGGGTTGCCGCGGTGTGTCGTCGAGTTAAACATGTTGGACGCACAATGAAATATTGATGGCTATAGAGTTGTCGCAAGATGAGCGATGATTGCTGGCTGTAGCGATGATCGGTGAGAGGAGTGAAGAAGAGAGTTGGGGGATTGCCACGAGCGCAGGTACCTGTTGTTCGGCGAAAGAAGCGTAAAAAGGCGCTAGTGGTAAGGGTAGAAAAATTGCGGATAAGCTCACACAGAAGCCCCGGGCGACGGCCCAAGGCACAGCTGATCCGGTAATGGAGCGCTGGTGCGTGCCAGATATCGATGTGGTCGGCGGAGAGAGTTTAGTGATGGAGAGAGAGCCCTGCGCAGAGTAAAAGGAGCCAAGAGGAAGAAGGGGGGGGGAGATGGTAAGGCGCGAAGGAGGAAAGGAGAGAAAAGTGTGTGTTTGGTGGAGGTTGTGCAAAGCAAAGACGGGAGGAGGAGGAGCAAGCAGCGGCGGAAGGAAGCAAGCAAGACACGAGAAATGGGGCCGATGCAGGACGAACAGGAGAATAATGGGGGCGAGCTTTTGTTTGATGGCTTGGATGCTTGGTTGGACTGAGTTAGTTAGGCTGCCACTGACTACCGAACTGCCAACAGTGGAAGGCCCTTTTAGCCCTCGTATCTCCACACCACAGAACCATGATGCAGGCCCAGGCGCCAGACTCCGGATGGCAGATGTGGTTGTAAGTAGTAGGCGCCCGGGGGAGAAGCCAAATAAAGAGCGGGCAGGGACATGCAGGCAATAAGCGGGAAGCACGGGTTCCCTGGAAGCAGACGCTAATGGAGGCCACTAGGCAGCTTTACTCACACGATTGGCAGTTGGCCCAGAGCCTGGGTCCGTGCTTAGGTGAACCGAAAGAGCGGAGAAGCCCAGGAGCATCAGGGTTTTGCGGCCCGGGCGTTGTACCTTGTAGAGAAACCAAGGCCGACACATCAGCGCCTGTGAGAACGACTGCATACCTACAAGTAGGTAACAATCTCACCGGCCTTTGGTTCGATCACAGTCCCCATACATCAAAAGGTCGGGCCAACAGTCCGAAGCAGGTAAGGCAGCAGTTGGTCTTGTGTATCTGCATGCGCGGTGACACCTCCGTCAAGATTGCGACCGGGTCTGTGCAGCTACGAAGGGATGCAGAATATCTTTGCTATGGAAGCATCTTCCGGTGACCGAACCACATCACCACAAGCTCTTCATGCTCTTGCCTCCGATCCCCTCATCAAGTAATTCTTGAAGAGGGAATGTGGAAGGGAACGCTAGGCTAAGAACAATTGCGGATCATCAGGCTGAAGCGATGAGAGCACAAATTACACCATCATGTCTACAGGACGAGACGGGCATTCCCGAATATGCGGGCTAGCCGGTGCACTGCAGGCAGAGGTAGGGCTGGGCGATACCATGCTATCCTGACCAATGTTTGACATGGGGGAGCAAACACGATACGGGCGGAGCTCAGCGCGATCAAACTTTGGTAGACCATGGTCATCGTCATCAGGCTTGAGTATAGCAGATTGCTCGAGGTCGGAGGAAATCAGCACAAACTCGTTCAAAATGCTTCGAGTCGGAGGGTATGACAGGGCAAAATTGATTGCAGGATTGAAGCTAGAATTGGTAACAGGTGTGGCAAAGACTGAACGCTTTTCGACATATTCAAATGAAGGTAGCCAGAGGTCTGTTGAGAATGTGCCATGCCAATCTCAGGGTTGGGCCTGAACGTTCAATAGCGACCCTGCCACATTCGCCATGGTTGTAGAGCCGGGAAATGTGAGTGTCTTCAGGACACCACAAGAACTGTTGTACAAGGTTGCGCACCGGAGGAGCAGCCATTTGACGAGTATTGAGCCCCGTGTTCCATCTCTTAAATCGTCCCCTTAGTAAATCCTCCAACGTAGACCGGGCTTTCGTCTCTTTCACTGGAGCGGCTCCAAGTACTGTCGAGTATGTCCATCGCATTGTACCGACAGACTGTTCTGGAGGTTCTGCATCTGGGACCTGTGGCCATTCATCTGTTGTACAAAGTCGTCGTCGCCGAGGAGGACTCTTAGTTTGCGAAAGGCGAAATTAAGCTAAACAAGATCAATATAAGGTAACGTCGATGTCAACTGGGGGGACTGTACCTGATCAATGCGGGTTTGGGTTCACTTCGCGTGTATCCTGGCACTGTTAGTCCTCCGTACGATGGAAAGCATCCCAGGCCTCATACCCAGATACAATATCAGAGGAAGGTATCCATAATGTACGACTTCGCGGGTGATGTCAAGGATCTTCCCTATGCGCTCCTTTGAGATTATTGTTAGATGATATTCTGTGCTTTGCTTCACGTGTCAACGGACCTTGGTCTCTTCAGAGAACTGAATCATCTTGATAGCTATACGGAGAAATTGCCAAAATTTACGAGAATAGACGTTCGGATGGGGGGGATCAAGTTGTCTTTGAGCGAGATATGGGGTGCTTTGATGCAAATAAAATCATGCAGAATGAAGCTGCGGAACAATTTCATGAAAGCGACGGAGTCACGTGGACTGATCGTCACACTAGTCTTAAAGTAGTATCGCGCTTTTCTTTTAACAGCCTTTCACGGTTGCCAACAATTTCGCCATCACATACGAGTACAAGTCCACAAGTCATTCGAAATTTCTGGGCTCACTACTTGCTCCAAAACGACCTAGGAAGGCTGGAACACTGCACAAGTACCCCGAGCACCGTCAGTTCCTCTCAACACCATGTCCAGCGCGAGACACTGGGAGCAAGACAAGGACTCTACCATCTACATCGGGAACCTCGACGAGCGCGTTACTGATGCTCTTGTCTGGGAGTTGTTTCTGCAAGCAGGCCGCATTGTCAACGTCCATCTACCCAAGGATCGGGTCACCCAATCGCACCAGGGCTATGGATTTGTCGAGTTCAACTCGGAAGAAGACGCTGAATATGCAGCAAGGGTCATGAACCAGGTCAGGCTCTATGGCAAACCTATCCGCGTCAACAAAGCCAGCGCCGATAAACAGAAGTCTGTCGAAGTGGGTGCAGAGTTGTTTATTGGTAATCTGGATCCAATGGTTGATGAAAGAATGCTCTACGACACATTTGGACGGTTTGGGACATTGGTAGCTGCACCAAAGGTATGTCTGACCCTTCTCGCCTGTCCTTCGAACTCTGCTAAACGCAAACAGATCGCCCGCGATGAGAACAACTTATCGAAAGGATATGGATTCGTCTCTTTTGCCAACTTTGAATCTTCGGATGATGCCATTGCCAATATGAACGGCCAATACCTCATGAACAAGGAAGTCTCGGTCCAATACGCCTACAAAAAGGACGGCAAAGGTGAGAGACACGGTGACCAAGCTGAACGAATGCTCGCTGCTCAAGCAAAAGCTCATGGTGTCCAACCCACTCCTGCCACCATCCCAATGGGTGGCCCAGTGTTTGGTGGCGTCCCACAAACTCCCGTTCCTCCCGTGGGATTTGCACCACCAAATGGCAATTATCAAGCCGTGCCGCCACCAGCACAAGCAAGGCCACCACCTCTTCCCAGCGCGCCGCTCACAGCTCCACCGAGTGGTCTTCCGGCGAGACCACCTCCGAGCCAGGCTGGATATGGCGGTCCACAGGGATTCATGCCGCCCGGCTTCAACCAGGTACCTGCAGGCTTTCCACAGCCGAATACACTACCCGCCGGGTTTGCCCCCCCTCCAGGATTTGGGGGTCCACAAGCTGGTACGATACCTTCAGCACCCATGCCGCCGGGCGGGTTTTCCGGATACGGTATCCGCAAGTAACCACGGTGATATACTTAAGGGCCGTAAGAGCTATCAGCGTTGCTATCACCAAGCTCATCAAGCTCACCAAGTGGTTATGGAAATCACCATGGTTGGGTTTCTCGCCATATTGAGAAAGCATCTTTTACGACTACGGACTTGTGAATCTCGGTACTTTCCAGGACCTTTCAACCTTCCTCGCGCCTCTCGCATACCCATGGGCAGCTCTCCTCGTAGCGGCACTGAACCATGATTCGAGCGAATATTGGTGAACTACGGTCAATGCGATCCTAGTGCCTTTTCACCTGGCAGCGACTAGTCGCACTCAAGAGCTGTCATTCTGCCTGGCTGTACAAGTCGCCTGCGTTCGTCGGAAGAGACACTTCTCTGCAATTGTACAACTGGAAAGTGAAATCCCCAAGTCTCTGTGCAGCCCAATGGTACCCAGGAGGTACGGGCGGCTGCACTAATTGGCACACAGCGCTCAATCAAATGTTAGGTGTGCGCTCAGGCGTTTTGCAAGTCAGTCAGAAGCATGGCCCTGAAAGACTTGGTCTATGTCCCAATGCGCTGGACACAGGTGGTACTATCAGGCCAAGAGGCAAGGAATCGTCGTTTTGGAGGGAGGAAATTACTGGTTTTGTCGGTGGGGGACACAAGTCGACGCAAGATGAGGAGTGCGCTTGGAAGCTATTGAGGGTCAGCACTCCACGATGAGCAGCTGCGTGGTGGAGAGACTCCCATGGTGTCGTCTCGCCCATTTCCGATATTCAAACCAACAGGATCGCCACTCAAATACTATCACGGCCATTACAAATGACGACACTGTCTCATTGGCAGATGAGGGCTGCTATCATGGCTGAGACGTGGTTATGTAGCACTCAGCTGCTGCTTGGAGAAAGAATGCAACTTGGGACCAAAAAAGATCGAGTTTGGCGCATGCAGCAACGAAAGACAATCCACTCGAACAGCATCCCTGTCTGGATTTCCGTTTTCTTCGCTCCTGGGTCTTCGCGTCAGCGAGCGAGCAGTGGACACACCTCCGCTTCATATACCACGAGAATGCCAAGGGCGTCAAGAACGTTCACACCCCAGGATAGTTTGGAACCTTTTGACTCAGTATCCAGAATGTCGAGACCCGAGCGGAGCAGAGCAGAGCGGCGGAGCAACGCAAATAAAAGAACACAGGATGTGAGATACCTTACACCGCGTGAATTACTCTCTCTCTTTCTTCCTTGTCCCTTGTTCCACTGTTCCTTTTCCCGCTCTCGACGTGTCGATGTTGCTCTGCCCTCATTCTGTGTCTTCTACAAAGATCACCCACCCACC